GTGCGCGCAGTTTAGAATTCAGAGAACTTTTGTTTACATGTGGTGTCGCATGGCAAACTTGCTGCTCCATATCCAGTTAAAATTTACCTTTAATAAATGGTATTCGAAAAGGGATAGTTTTGCAAGCTGCGGGTAATTTAAAGCAATCATTCTCAATGGGAACACATTTATTAAATAATTTTTCTTCTATACATACATATGTCGTTTCAGGAAAATCTCGTCGAGCGAAAGCATCATCGTCTAGCACGTTCTGAACGCTCACGCATTTCTGATCGCGATGCAAAGCCCACTGCTATTATACGTAATCAGCTGCACACCATTGTTTACCGTTATCCACCAACATGTGTACTCAGCAGCGAGGAACAGGATTTATTATGGAAATTTCGATTTTATTTGTGTTCACATCGCAAAGCTTTGACGAAATTTCTGAAATGCATCAACTGGGAAACTCAACACGAGGTTATGCAAGCACTGTCTCTGCTCGCCAAATGGGAGCCCATGGATGTGGAGGACGCCCTGGAGTTGCTCAGTCCAGCTTTTACACATCCAGAGGTCCGGCGCTACGCCATCAGCCGCTTGGCCCAAGCTCCTGACGAAGATCTATTGCTATACTTGCTGCAACTGGTGCAAGCATTAAAGTACGAAAATTTTGATGATATCGTAGAATTGCACAAACGCCTCTTCCCTGACCATGATGTTGTACGCTCTTTGGACGGCAGTTCTACCACCTTAGATCCAAATTCCATATGTTCGGATTCCGGTGGAGGTGCATCTTCAGTGATTGCAGTAGGAGGTGCTGGACCGCATCGCGCAATTGTTTCATCAGTTCTACAGCGCACAGCGATGCAAGCGGAAATGGCCACTCCACGCACATCCGCATCAGTGACGGCAACATCGGCATCAAGCTCAATAGGAAGGGCGATAAGCCCCCCATCACCCTCATTTTCAGCAACTTCACCCGTTTTACCCACAGCTGAATGCGACGGTGGAGATGATAATAACTACATAAATCATACCTCCATAGCTTCGGCGATTTCCGATGCAACCAATACCTTGACAAGCGAAAGCAATGCTACCGGGCCTCTGAAAAATGATCCCGGAGATCTTTGCACATTCCTGATACAGCGAGCGTGCAAAAATCCAACGCTCGCTAACTATCTTTACTGGTATTTATCTATTGAGGTGGAGGACCATGAGTCCTTACGCAAACAGGATGAGCGAGTGCATGATATGTACGTGATGGTGTTGCGAATGTTCCTTAAAGTCTTGGAAACTGGTAAGTAACAATTACGATGCCACATCATTATCCCACAACATCTGGTTCTACATGCCGGAATCACTCAGATCTAACCCGACCAAGTGATGTTTTTTCGGCGATCTAATTCTGTTGGTTCGTCGAAACCTACCAATCGTTGTCCGAACCTGAAGCAACACTGAACAAAAAAGGGTTTATTTGCACCCTTCTCTGCTGGGCTGGCACTGAGTCCTACCCCGGACCACAAGCTACATGTGTTACTTACGCCAACAGTGAATATAGCCACCTAAGAACCTGTTTTGACTATAAGGAGTGGGGTACAAGTTATGGGGCCTATTTCGATACCGTCATATGTCACCATCTGCCTACATGACCTCCAACCTGCTCACCTCGCCAGAGCACAAGAGCTTCCTGGGCCCTACGAAGTTTGTCTGAGCAACTGTTAAACTCCCTCCGCCTTTCTCGCCGTCCCTCACCTTAATCTCCTTGTGAGCCTTTTGTCTCTCATACTGTCTGTTCCTTATGTTGGAAGAGTATATACTTAGCATCACTCAATTGCAACTCGAGCCTTGGCTGAAGTCATTTTCGAATATGTTCTGAATACGATACTCTTAAAGTTCAACTATAACTGTCTCTAGAGTAAGATCGAGGATATATGTATGTTATCTCTTTATGGGTCAGCACGGTATAGTGATAGCTGTGATCTAAGGGGACGCGTTTATGCTGAGTTGGGAGAAGAACTTTTAAGCAGGGTTGCTTATTAAGTAAAGAAACCCGCTGATTACCTGCAAGTGCGCATACCAAGAGCTTAGCTAACTATAAAATTATATATCACAGCTCAATCAAAAGCGAAACGAAGTTTCATAAGATCTCGGTCGTGCCTGCTACTTTTTTTTCGTAAAAGTTCACCATTCCTAGCATCCATCTTATACCACACTATGCAGTTTCGTTTCATCGAAGAAGATATCGGTGGCAGGGAAACCATCCTAGAACATCTAAACATTTTGTTTCAGCGATCTAACCCCGTTTAGGTCGGCGAAGTATCTCAGAAGTTGGTCGTCCATAGGGCCACAATTGCCAGAAACCTACACCTGCTGTGTCTGGCATACACACCACAACTCCACCTCAGTCAAGTGCAATGCTTGCGAGGGGTGGAGCCATCTCAGAGTCTGCTCAGGACTACGGACACATCGGCAGTGGACCACATCTTTTGTGGCCCCCCTGAGCAGCTCAACACAGACACCACAACACAACAACACAATAGACCACACCACAACCACGACAGACCACATAACAACTCCTGGTTCCTCCTACAATTTGCACAGTATGTCAGACCAGGATATTCCGTAATGAGACATCAGTCAAGTGCAACACCTGCCTTGGCTGGGGCCACTTTAGGGCATGTTCAGGTCTGCGCACCACGCGAGATTGGACGAGGAACTTCGAGGGCCCGAGGTGCGCTGCTCGGTCGCAAACCCCAACTGCGACGCCACCCACTACCACCACAGGGCGGCAACCTCCACTGCAGCGCACACAGCCAATGGCGACAAGGCCACACACATCCTTCACACCCCGCATAACTACACGTCTCCCGAACCACATGAAGCTCCTTCA